GGTTGCACAACACTGTGAATGTGCTAAATGTCACTGAATTGTACACTATAAAATGGTTAAAATGGTGAATTTTATGTTATGTGAATTTTACCACAATTAAAAAAAAAGTCCTACCCCTGCCCCTACCCTGCGCCTCAGCTCTAACCCATGACTCCCTACTGTCTGAGGGGTAACTCCACCTAAGAATTAAATGGGCACCTCCACAAGGTCAAAACTTACCATATCACCCCCCAAATCTGTTATTCTCAGTCTCTGAGGTACCTCTATCCACTCAGGTCTCCAAGCTAGTAACATGGGAGTTACCCTCAACCCCACTGCTGATCAACTGTCACTATCCTGTCCCTAGTTTCTGAGGGCTCCCGCTACCCTTACCACCACTGATCTGGAGAGGACCTTTATTGTAATTTACCTAGCCTACTTCAAGAGCCTCTATTAGAACTTCTGCCTTAGCTAGAATTATTTTCCTAAGAAACAAATCTGGTAGATTAAAAATGTAATCATAAAAATATCTATAAAAGAATTAAGAAAACATTAGAGACTATTTTAAAATCTTGGAAAGAGGACTCTCGTATGCAGGATACTAAAACATCAAATTATAAACGAAAACACAGATTCAACCACATTCACATTTAAAACTATCAAACGAAGAAAAAAAATCACCACAAAACCAAACATCAAACCCATTACCGTTGAGTTGATTCTGACTCATAGCAGCCCATGTGCATCAGAGGAGAACTGTGCCCCTCCATAGGATTTTCAGTGGCTGATTTTTGGAAGTAGGTCACCAAGTCTTTCTTCCGAGGTGCCTCTGGGTGGACTCCAATCGCCAACCTTTCAGTTACCAGCGAAGTCATTAACCTTTTGCATCATACAAGGACTCCCTAAGAGAAAATAACTGCCATATATAATAGACATCAGTTTACGACCTAGAGTAGGGAGGGCAAACAATGGCTCATGGGCCAAATTCTGCTGTCCACCTGTTTTTATAAATAAAGTTTTATTGACACATAGACACAGGTATTATACAGCTACTTTCACGATATAACAGCGGAGCTTAGTAGTTGCCACAGAGACTATAGCCCACAAAGCCTAAAATGTTTACTATCTGGTTCTTCACAGAAAAAGTTTGCCAACCCCTGGCCTAGAGTATACACAGAAAGCTCCTATAAATCAAGAGAGAAAAAAACTGACCCAACAGAAAAACAGGCAAACAATATGAACAGGCAATCCACAGAAGAAACAAAAAATACTCAAACATTATAAAAAGAAGCTTGACCTCACTGGTAATGAGGGAGATTATTAAAGAATTAAATCATTTGAAAATATCCAGTCGAGGCAATGGTATGACACAGCCTTTTTTGGAAGACAATTTGGTAGTATCTGTAAAAAAATTTAATGCACTTGATGTCAACACAGCCATTCTATTTTTGGGTATCTGCCCCAGAGAAAAACTTGCATGTGTGCGCGCATACACACACCCAAAAGCATTTATAAAGATGTTCACTGAGGCATTCACTGTTTCTAACAGCAAAACCCGGAAGTCACCCAGATGTCCATCAGTAAGGGAACAGTCAGATGATGCTACAATCCTAATGGTATAATACATAAAAAGACTTTGGTATTTACACGTAATAACATGAAAAGATCTCTATGACGTATTGTTAAACAGAAAAAAAAATGTTGCTGCAAAGCAAATACATACAACCATTTAGGTTGAAAAAGGTTTAACTGCATATTTGAGTCCATATTTATGCAGAGTAATGCACAGAAGAGCTGGAAGGACACACGCCACCCTGTGGACAGGGCCTGGACTGGAGGGTGGGTGACAAATAATACAAGACTATCACTTGTGACTTATCCTGGGCCACTCTGAATTCCAGGGGCGAGGAGGTGGCAAGGGACTACTCCATTCCAAACTAGCGTCTCAAGGTCCCTAGTGGGACACCTAAACCTACCTCTGGAACACTTATACAACACAACCACCCCTGACATCACTGTCCTCATCATGCACTCATGGATGCCCCTTACAGACCCTGAATAGAAGTAGGGGAAAGAATGGCCACTGAAAGACCCTGGTTCTGTCCCTGCCCTGGGCAAGTCACTTCCCTTCTCTGGGGTTCAGTCTTCTCATCAGTAAAAAGAAGCAGTTAAATTAGCTGCTCTCTGTGTCTCTTCCAGGTCTGATGGAAGAGGTTTCCCCTGAACAATTTTAGGGGAAAACAAACAAACGAAATTCACAGCTGAGGAAATAAAGTTCAAATCAGAAGGAGGCTGGGAGGCATGTGAAACGTCTGCTCCTGGGAAGATGGCATCCCAATAGCCAAAGCCAGTTGCTGCTGCTGTTGCTCACGGCCTCCCTGGCCTCAGTGTCCTCGCCCACTAAGAGTGGGTGGCCTCAATGATTTCTGATATAGCTTCCAGCCTGGATGGTCTAAAATAAGCTCAGGGCGGTGAGGGGCAGGAGGAAGCAGGGGCTTGGGGGAGACTGGTGGGAACAGATTGGCTGAGGTTTTCTAACTGAGCCTGAGCCTATAAGGATGGGAGTAAGGGACTGGGGGAGGGCCGGATGCAGAGAGCAGCAGCGAAGGCTGTTGGCAACAGCACTGAGGTTCCCTCCTCTTTTTTCAAAAGCAGTTTCTTCCTGAAAGATCCCAGGAGGTAGAAGGCTGGCTAATCTCTCCCAGCACAAATAACCCCACTCATTATTTCAAAAACTGCCGTTCCAGTTGTGACCTGAAGGTCTCAGGCCTATTTCCGAAACCCACAATTCAACTTTGGATACAGTGAAAAAGTAAAGTATTTTAGATCCACCCCCTCCCCATTCCACTCAATAATCAACAGTTTTTAAAAAAAAAATTTTTTTTTTAATCGACTCAACTTAGATATGCAGGTTCCACTCTAATATTCTTAAGAATCAGAAAACGGCCCCTATGAGGTTTAAATACCTAATTTACCAAATTTGGCAGTTGTTTGGAATAACTAGGAAACTTAGAAAGCTCTCCTGGAACATCCTGTGCCAAGCCCAGAAACTTCCTAAGTCAAAGTTGACTATTCTGTAGGTGGTTTCTTGTTTTTAAATTATAAGAGACAAAAGTCTAATATCATTCCTTGCTTTTCACGACAGCTTGCAAGGGTGGCCAGGGAGCACTATTCCCAATTTATAGATAAGGAAATAAAACATACAGAGGCAAAATGACTTGTTCAAGGGCAACGGCTGAAAATGACAGCCAAGACTAGAAGCAAAACCTCATGACTTTTAGCTCAGGGCCCTCATCACTACACAAGAGGCTTCCTAAGAAACAGCATCCAAGGTCTCCCTTAGAATCTGCCCCTGACGGAGGGGAGGAGCGTGCTGTCGCAGAATGGGGTGAGCGGTTGGGGTCTCATAACAATGTATGTTTAAAAAAAAACAAAGTTCTGTACAGGAGACTAACCTGAAATGTAAACTTCATTTAATTACAACAATTAAAACAAAAACAAAAATCTGCCCCTGAAACTCGAGAGCACCTGACTAGGAAACTAAATTCTACCCTTCCCAAGCTGACCTTTCTCGAAGGCCCTTCGTGTTCACACAACCTATGACATCACAGCTCTGAGTGTTTGGTTAAGCTTTTTGGTTTTAGGTGAAGAGAGTTGGAAACCTGACATCAGAAGAAGGCCCTACATCCTGGGCTTTAATCTCTGCCCTGCCATCCTACTCGGTCAGCTGTGTAAAGAAATCCACCCTGTGTGCACTTAAGCAGCATTAAAACAACCAGGCTGGGCACACTTCAGAGCTGTCTTCAGTCTAAGGGTTCTTCTGCAGGAATGGCTACAACTAGGTCACACTGGCCTGGAATGTGAAGGAAGCTTCCCCGCCTACTGAGCTAGTGCGGGATGAGGATGCGCTGAAGAGAACTGAGACTGCGGAGAAACAGGGGAGATATCAACAACATATCTCAAGAATCCAGCTCTGCATGTCCCAGGCCATCCAAGTGTTCTTGAATCCTGGAAGGCTGAGATTTCAAAAGCCAGTGCAGCAGGTCCCAAATGCCCGTGAGGCCATAGCCAAATCCCCTGGTGAGCTTTAAAAGTACAATGCCCTCCATCTCCTGAATCAAGTCTCCAGGTTTGCAGCCCCCAGGGACTCTGTTTTTAAAGGTCGAGGATGGTGCAGATTTGGGAGCCACTGAGCTAGTTCAAAGCCCTCATTCGACAGATGCCTGGCAAAGTGAGGACCCACAGGTCTCCACTTTTCTGCCAGTAAATGGAGGGTGGGGAAGGTGGGCTGGGAAAGGCGCCCCCAACTCTCCCATCTACAAAAGGTCCTCCAGTTTAAGTTCAAGTGTAACACCCTCCTCCTCAGACAGCAGGAGGCTTCACCCCTCATCGCCACTGACAGCTATGATGACTTAGAATCAGGGCAGGCCAGGCCTGTCAGGACCACAACCATACTGTCCCCAGTCACTCTGGATGGACAAGTCCAATCGTGGCCCCAAGACAGATTCTGAGGGCCCCCCGAAGCAGCAGGCCATCCCCAAGCACTTTGTCCCTCCTAAGAAAACCCAGGCATTTTTGAGGCACCCAAAACGCATGAATCACATAGCAGCGATGGGAACAGGAGAGGATGTTATTTTTCGGCATACTTGAGGATTTTCCCTTTGTCCGCCTCTATCCATGCACTTCCCACCGCCCACACCGCCATCCCTGGTCCCAGACTCAAGCACATCTTCCCGGTTACATCGGATTTTCAACAGTAGGCCCGCCCCCACCCGCCTCAGGACAAGGCACCGTCAGGCTCGTCCCGGGGCAGGTCGGGTTCCGGCGGGCGTCGGGGCAGGGACGCCTCCGGCGGGCCCGGCGGGGGTCTGGCCCAAGCTGGCTGCGGGGGGCGCGGGGTCCCCACCCTCGATCTCCCGGCCCCGGTCCCCCGCCCTCAATCCTCCGACCACAGGCCCCTGCCCTCGGTCCCCCGGCCCCGGGTTCCCCGACCCCGACCCCGCCCAGTCCGCGGCGCTCACCTGGCTCAGGTCCTCGTCGTTGAGCAGATGCGACTCGCGCGGCTTGAAGCAGTTCTGACACTTGCTCTTGTTGAAGATGTTGGCCTGGAATTTCCGGCACGGGTTCTCCTTGGCAGCCGACATGGCCGGCGGGCGGGCTCGCTGGGGCGCGGGCCGTCACACGCCGGGCCGCGGGGCCATTCCGGGCTCTCGGCCGGCGCCGGTC